ACAATTCTAATGACCATGCATTATCTCTATCCTCCATGAAAGAACATTTAACACCCAAAAAACTAAAATGACATAACCTTGGATTTAGGTCAGGTATTCAAATTTCATTACTGCTACTTTATGAAAACTTTACTTCATCATTGTTATTTCTCTTATTTTCTGGGGATTTAAGGAGACTTGACCACTGGGTAGTGCTGGTCTTGGAAAGGACGTTCAGAAAACATGGCACCAGCTCACAGGGATTTTATCCAGGTGCCAGATGAATCTCTCCCTTTTGGTCTGCCATCCTGCAGCTCCAGCATATGCAGAGCATTGTTCTCTTGGACTTTAAAAAGAGAAAACAACAAAGGGATTCTTTTTAAAACCTCCACAAATCGGAATAGAACATGCCTTTCTGCACTTTAGTCTTTCTTGGGAAATAGATTTGTGTGGCGTTATTTGTACATTTCCCAAAAAAAGAAAACAAAGACGAGGAAAATGCAAATGCCAAGACTCAAAAGAATTTTTGAAAACAGTCAAGAGCAATAAAAAAACAAAAAATGTACATGGAGCACTTAACCACAGTTTATTACCACAGCATGTAAAAGTAAAAGGCCAGCCACCTTCGCTACAGTGGAAATCAGTGAATATCAGTGTGCCTAGTGCTACTATGAAGGAAATCCCTGCTTTCTTATTTATTTGCGAGAACAGAGAAAAGGGGAAGTTAGTAACTTGGGCCAATAAAGTATGAAAGCTGCTCTGAGGTTATCCACATTCAAAACCGCCATATTCTGAGAAGTTAAAGAGCCATTTCTCTATGCATCTCAACTTTATGTATCAAAGTTCATGTCAACATTAGCTGTCTGTGCATTTACTCCTCTTGTTGCTTCTTTCAGTATATTTACAAAAGCAATGATCAGTTTAGCCAATATCTACAGGACAAAGTCACAGGCTTTAAGTAACTACGAAAGCAAATTTAAGAGCTCTAAATTAATGATTTTTTAAAAGTACACATGGGAACACATAAATGTGTTTGCAATGCAACAATCTCCTGTTCTTGGGGGAAGTCAAATGTCTTGAATTTCCATGGAAGCAACCCAGTGAGCCAGAGGGTCTGCAAAGGAAGGCAGCTCTGAGGTGGGCACACGTCTGGGAATGTGTCTCTCTTTGTAGGAGCTTTGTTTCCATTGGGGTCATTGTCGTTACTAACACGTCTTCCAAGTTTCAAGACATTCAAAGCAATTATTCAGAGAATGATAACAGCTGACCTTGTGACCCCAGGTCCTCTTCCCAATATCAGTTTGATCCATTCCCTCGCTTTCTTGGGTTTCTGCTCAGATGTCCCCTTACCAGAGGGAGCTCCCTTGACACTCCAATAAAGGGCACATGGCTGTGAACCACCCTGTTTTCTTCACAGCATGTATCACCACCACCTATTTTAGACTTGTTTGGTTATCGTCAGTCCCCCTCAGGGATGTCAGCTACATGAGGGCAGGAATCCAAAGGGTTTGACTCACTTCTATGGACCCACTGGGAAAAAACAGTGACTCAGGAAGTCCTTCTATTCAAACCTCACAATGATTCTGTAAGGAAAAGGAGGCTAAAAATTGTTGAGTCCCACAGTGTCAGAAAGTGTATGATGAAAACCCATGTCTGAGTTCTAAATCCCATGCTTTTTCCAGCAAATCACAGAGCCTCTTATTTTAAGATAATGTGAGTTACTTTAAATCTGGAAATTTTCATCAGACAAATAGGGTATTGTGAAAGCTAAATGTCCACCTAAAAAGAGCATGTGTTTTTTATTAGCTTGTTATATGATATAATTCCTCCTTCTGGTGCACAAGCAAAAACCTTTCTTTTTTCAGAAATACACAGAAATACTTAAGACATACTTATAATCAGGAATAATATGAAAACAAAGAAAACTTGATGCTCCTCAGGATAACCCTAGATGTTAATGCAAAGGTATTAATAAATCTATGAAATTAGCAGCCATTTAACAATTCAGTGAGCATTTACTGAGTATCTTTTATTGGTCAGGCCCTCTGCTAAGACCATGTAGTTACAAAGAGGAATAAATGAGAGTCCACATCCTTAGAGTTAAACCCACTTAAAGATACAGACATATGAACATAATTATAATATAATGTAATTAGAGGCTTTCGTAAGTTTTATAAGTGATAAGAGGAAAGGGAATCTGTAAACAGTTCTGCCTAGGAGGAACAAGCAGAACAGTTGAGTTTGAGCTGCATCTTCAGAGATGAGTAGTCATTCCCAGGTCCAATAGCAACAGAGAGAGTGGCATATATATGCGGCTGGGGACTGGCATATGTGTTCCAAGGATGAGGACATTTAGCACGTCTGGGCCTCAGGTACACTGGGAGGTATTGCGGGAGATGGAGCTGTCAGTGAGCATGGTAGTAATACTACCTAAATGTTGTTGAGAACGTTCAATGAGATAAAGCCATCAACATAGTGCCTCACTAAGGAGTGAACAAATGGGGGCGCCTGGGTGGCTCAGTCGTTAAGCGTCTGCCTTCGGCTCAGGTCATGATCCCAGGGTCCTGGGATCAAGCCCGCATCGGGCTCCCTGCTCAGCGGGAAGCCTGCTTCTCCCTCTCCCACTCCCCCTGCTTGTGTTCCTTCTCTCGCTGTGTCTCTCTCTGTCAAATAAATAAATAAATAAAATCTTTAAAAAAAAAAAAAAGGAGTGAACAAATGCTGGTGTTTGTCTTGGAATGGAGGATTTGAGATTTCTATATATCCATAATTTCAAAAGAAGAAGAATACCTCCTGGTACAAAAATAAATCTACTGTTTAGCAAATAAAATTCTTTATCAGAGTACCTGTGTAGTAGAAAGGGCATGCATATTATTTATACAGAGCTGCATTCAAAACCTGAGACTCCAGGCAACATTCTCGTCTGACGTTTTCAGTGAGATCCAATATACTTGACAGGGAGCTTCAGAAGTAATGAAGCAATCCTGTATTTAATTAGAACCAGTCATGATACAAATTTCACTTGCTTGGATAGCAGGTTGATTTTCCAGAGAAGAGGGTGTGAGTTTGGTTTCTTCTTCCATTACTCATGACCTCAACCCTTAGGGAAATGACAAGATAATTTAATTCTCTAACACTCATTTGGGAGTGTCGATGATAAATGATCAGAAATATTGCTGCTTCCACTGCACTGCTTCTCTTATTGGTTCTTCCCTTTCCTTCCCCTGACTTGCTTCTCCTCTCCACTCCGCCCCAAGAAACTAACTTGATATTGGAGCGATAAAACCTGTCACAATAAACTTAATCTTCTGTCACAATCTTTCTCCTTTTTTATTTGTCTATTGTTCCCCCTAAAAAATCTCCAGTTTGATACTTGCATGGCAACATTATACTTCTGTATAATTAAGAGCCAACACTGATTCCATTGTTTGTACCAGTCAGCACAAGAAAATTGTAATTTTCCTTTTCTTTGCATCTTACAATCACCTAATAAGCAGCTCTAATGCTGGGCTATTGAATTATACAATAAACAAAAATTTCTCATCATTTAACATTTGTTCAAAGACTTAATGCTGTGGATCCACAAAAACAGAAATAAGAAGGGAAATGTGCACTTATCCAGTGAATCCAATCAATGCAAACCACAAATCTAAATTAATTATTCAGGCCACCAAAATCTGTTGTTGTTATTGTGGTTGTATTAATGCCTAAGCTATTTGAAAAAAATTATGCTAACCTTACATGGATGTTTGGCCTTTGTTGACGTAAGCGTGACTAACCAAAATCCTTTTGTATTCTTGAGCACGCTTGCCCACATACACATGCAGGTCAGGGGAAGCGCAGAGGGAGAGAATCTTCAAGCAGACTCCCGGCTGAGCACAGAGCCCAAGGCCCAGGTAGGGCTCAAGCTCATGATCCATGAAATCAGGACCAAGCTGAAACCAAGAGTCCCCCACCCAACTGACTGAGCCACCCAGGCGCCTTTTTTTGTATTCTAATTGAAACATTACTTAAGTTATTTTGCAAATAAGCAAGACACTTGGGGTAGTTGTTTTTATCACCCAAACCTGAAAGGATGTAAGAGCTTCATTACATAGGGATCAGAAACCACCATCTTTTGGGCCAGAGTGAGATCCTAATGCCAACAGGATTTTACTACCTACCTCTGCACCTAGGAACCACCTACATGTCTGACAGCATCTGGAATTCCCACCAGTTTCTTCCTCACCCACAATTCTCATTGACTGTCAGGGACTCAGTGGGAAACACAGAAAAGCCAAAGGTAGAACAATGCCTTCCTTCTGGGGAGCACTACCCTCCCACCTCAGGCCCATGATCATGCTAGCATCCTTCCTGACTGCTTTAGACTCACCTCCATACACACTCATTTAGTCAGTTATTTTTCATCCCTTAAAAAAAAACTCTCCTCATCAGCCTGTGCAGAAGTACACTAGGTATTTCTAGAAAAAAAATGTGATCCCATGAGAGAACAATGTATGAAAATTACTTTTTAAATCATTTAATAACAATGAGACTGTAATTGTGCAGAAAGCTTAGGAAATGAGTCTGTCCAATTAAGTTTGCTCTCTAGTGCTAACTGGAGGTGTTTGGCTCTTAAGTACCATGACCCTTGACTATGACCTATGCTATTGAAAGTCTTCCTAGATTGTATTAGTGCACCTTTCTTCTTGAGTAAGTAATATCACTTAGTCTTTTTTGGTGACTCAGCATCTCACAGCACCTTATTAAGAACGGACAGGTAGCTTCTCTTTTAAGATAACACATTTTTCTTTCACTTGTGTGCTTTTAACTAAAAGACATTTAGGAAACCGTGTGAGTGAAAAATACTTGACTGAGCAGCATCATGCAAGGCCACACGTTCCTTTGTTCATTAATTCACACATTCATTTCCTGAGCATTTAAGGAGCTCCTACAGAGTGCAAGGCACTGTGTCAGGCCTTGGAACAGAATGATGAGTAACTCTAAGACCTCTGAGGAAAGAAGTTTGCCTTTATACTCACCTGAGATACTGCTGAGCTCTCCTGAAAACCCATTCCCCATTCCTAAGTCTGAGCATCACCATTCACATGGTAGGTGGTAGGAAGACTGCAAAGACAGCATAAAGACGACCAAATGTTTTCACCTGCAGGAATCAAAGAAAACTCTTGCTAATGAGAAATTGTCAAATCTTCTCCCTTAGCAACTTTCAAATACACAGTCAGTATTATTAATGATAGTCATTGTGCTGTGTGCTACATCCCCAGAACTTATTTATCTTATAACTGGAAGCTTGTACCTTTTGAACCTAGTTTTACCCATCTCCCCCACCAGCCACCTCCAACCCCTGCCCACCTGCAGCAACCACCAATCTGTTCTCTGTATCTGTGGGTTTGGGTTTTTTAAAAAAAATTTTATTCCACTTACGGGCACCTGGGTGGCTCCGTCGGTTAAGCATCTGCTTTCGGCTCAGGTCATGATCGCAGGGTCCCGGGATTGAGCCCCATTGAAAGCTCACTCTCTCTCTCTCAAATAAAATCTTTTAAAAAAATAAAAAAAATTTTTTCCACTTAATATAAGTGAGATCATATGGTATTTGTTTTTCTCTGACTTATTTCATCTAAAACTAATACAATGTTACATGTCAATTATATCTCAATAAAAAAAGAAAAGAAGGAAAATCTCAGAGGTGATGGCAAGTAAAGTGGGATGAGGATGAGGAGGGGTTTGGACATTCAACCACATTTTATTTTATTTTATTTTTAAAGATTTTATTTATTTATTTGAAAGAGAGAGAGCACAAGCAGGGGGAGTGGGAGAGGGAGAAGCAGGCTTCCCACTGAGCAGGGAGCCTGATGCAGGGCTCGATCCCAGGACCCTGAGATCATGACCTGAGCTGAAGGCAGACGCTTAACTGACTGAGCCACCCAGGCGCCCCATTCAACCACATTTTAAAATAACCCTACATCATCTTGCTCTTCATTTACAATGATTTTTAACTTTTGGGGGACCAAGTACCTCATAAAGAATCTATAAAAACTTTTGTCCATTACACTTAAAAAATAGTTAAAATGATAAATTTTATGTTATGTATATTTTACTACAGTTTTTAAAAAACTTTTGTCCAGGAAAAATATGCAAATAGATACAAAAATAGATAATTTTATGGGATCCACAGATGGCCTGAAGTCCACCATGGACTTTCTGGAGATTCAGGGACACCCTGCTAAGAACGTGTGTATGAGGTAGAGCTAAGGCAGTTGCTTATGTAAACAAGATATGAGAGAATATGTGGCAATCATTTGAATAGTCTCACCAAAATGGTGGCAAGAGATTCCAAAATAGATTTTCTGTTAAGATTTCTCATTTGACTGTGTACCCCAGGGCCCATCAAGGGACCCTTGTCTATGTCTCAATATATTTTTGGTTGCCTGGCAAGGAGGTGAGGTTGGTACTAACATCTAGCAAATGATACCAGCGATGGTAGGGAACAGCCTAAAATGCACAGGACAGCTCCCCACCACAAAGAAACTCTCTGGCCGAAATGTCAACAGTGCCAAAATTTAAAAACCCTGGTCTATACTAATAAGTTGCTCAAACATCTTCTATAAGAAAATGTTGGTCACCTCTAAAATTGGTTATAGAGAGAAACAAGAAAAGTGTAGAGAAGCATCCATTTTAATCCAAATAAAAATGTCTTTTTTTTTTTTTTGGCTTTGCAATAGATTATCATCTTGGTGTTCTTTAGTTTTATAATTACACAATATGTTTATTGTTGTCCTTTGAGGGCAACACCAGTTTTACTTAAATAATGAAAGTATCAAATAATGCAGTGTTAAGACCCTTGTTTTTGATCAACTCTTTTTTTTTTTTTTTTTTTAAGATTGTATTTATTTATTTGACAGAGAGAGACACAGCGAGAGAGGGAACACAAGCAGGGGGAGTGGGAGAGGGAGAAGCAGGCTTCCTGCCAAGCAGGGAGCCCGATGCGGGGCTCGATCCCAGGACTCTGGGATCATGACCTGAGCCGAAGGCAGACGCTTAACGACTGAGCCACCCAGGCGCCCCTTGATCTACTCTTGATCTAAAATAGGTCACTGGCACCGTTTCATAAAGGCAGGGGGACCTCGTTTGTGGAATGAGAATAATCTGGCCAGTCCATCTGCCCAGCAGGGTTAGCCTGTGGCAGTCGCTATAGCAAATATCTGTGTTTTATGAATACCACTAAGTAACACAAGCGGCCAAAAACGAAAACAGCCTTGATTAAGTGCAGACTAAGTGACCTTTAAAATTATTTCATTGCCTCTGGACAGCGGTTTGGCTTATTGCGGACAGTAATACTCAGTATGCATTTGTGGTACTTGGGACTGTATCTAAGTAAGGCCAGGCAAGCACATCGCCACACGTCAGCCAGTCTTCCCTCTTAGGAGTACACACTGGCCAGCCAGCTTTATCTTGGCGAAAGCCGTAGTGATCCTTAAAAAGCTCAGCAGGATGGCTTGTATGTACTCTGTCCTATTTTCCAGCTGAGTATAGTGACTTACTTACTATCCCAAATTAAGTTTTCTCACTGCAAACTTGAATGCTCATGGTATCTGAAAAAATTTAAAATCTTACAGAAACAGATAATATAAAATGCAAGCATGCTGTTATTGAAGTAAACTATAAAGGAGCTCAGCTTTGTTTTCAATAATCCCTTAAATTCGGGGCGCCCGGGTGGCTCAGTCATTGGGCAGAGTCTGCCTTTGGCTCGGGTCATTATCCCGGGGTCCTGGGATCGAGTCCCGCATCGGGCTCCCTGCTCCGCGGGGAGCCTGCTTCTCCCTCTCCCACTCCCCCCTGCTTGTGTTCCTCATAAAAATATGTTAGGGCTCAAAATTAGTCCTTTCTTATCCCCTAGTGCACAAAACTCACATTATTTTAATGTTCTGGGGATGCCTGTGTGGCTCAGTCAGTTAAGATTAAGTGTCTGCCTTCAGCTCAGGTCATGATCCCAAGAACCTGGAATTGAGCGTCACATCCATTGGGCTCCCTGCTCAGCAGGCAATCTGCTTTTCCCTCTGCCCCTCCCCCCACTCGTGCAAGTGCACTCTCTCTCTCAAATGAACAAATAAAATATTTGAAAAAAAAGTATCTCATATATTTTAATGTTCTGGATTCAAATCATGTTTAGCACCCACAAACTAATTCACATTAAGGTATAAATGGGTGATGACAACTGGAATGTGCTAAGACTTCAAAACGTATTTTTTAGATCTTAAAATAATTAAAATAAAAGAATTTTTAACTAATTAACATCAGGCAGGAAGCAGGGTAATTTTTTAGCGTCTCTCAAATTGCAGCATATAAGCAATTCCCAGATAGTATCAATAAAACTGGTTCCAAATCACAAATTTGTACAGATCTCACTTTCATCGATAAATGAGATTTACCAACACTTAAGCATAGCGTGTGACATCAGAACTTAGCTCCTAAAGATGGGAAAGGAAGCTGAAAGAAGAAACCTAAGTTCTACTGAGCAACTGCACTGCTCTGAGAATGGTCTCGGACTACACTTACATAAGGTAATCCTCGTAAAGTCTTTTCAAGATAGATCCTATTAGCCCCATTTTAGAGATAGGAAAACTGACATTTACAGTGATTAAATAGTTTGTCCTAAATTGCATACTAATAAGAAAAAAACAGGATTTAAAGCAATTCTGTTGATTCAAAATTCCAAAATCTTTGGATAAACACCTGGCTCATTTTGTCTGAACAAAAGGAAACCAGCATCCTGTAAACACCTACCATGTTTACTTACTTTGTGAACTAAGCACTGCCACACAGTAGCTTTTTAATCCTTAGAGTCTGTGAATAAGACACTATTTTCCCCACATTAATAGATGAAGAAAGTGATGCTCAGTGAGGTGAAGGTCACAACTGGCAAGTGGCAAATCCAGAACTGGAACCAAGGTCTGCTTGGGTCTGGATTCTAACTCTAATTCCAAGTTTACTGAAGTTTCTGTGTCATGTATTCTTTGTTTCAACTAAAAATGTGTGATAACTGGGGCATCTGGGAGGCTCAGTGGGTTAAGCATCAGACTCTTGGTTTGGGCTCATGTCGTGATCTCATGGGTCCTGGGATTGAGACCCACACCCTGGGAGCGGGGGAGGGGGACGGGCCTCCATGCTCAATGGGGTGTCTGCTTGAGGATTCTCTCTCTCTGCCCCTCCCCACTGCTTGCACTCATTCTCTTTCTAAAATAAATGCATAAAATCTTTAAAGAATGGGTGATGATAATCAAAGGCACAGGGCAAAAGTATGTTGAGCAGAATTTTCTCCAATTTATTTATTTTTTTATCCAGAACATAGGCGATTCCACAGCCTTGCACATTCACTATTATAATTTTTGCTCCTTAATGAAAGCAAATCTTTCCTTTATATATAATCTCAATGTTCTGACTTTAAATCAGTTTTGTGTATACCGATAAGTTGATGTCTTGAGGATTTATTGGTTTTGTTGTTTGTGGCAGTGTTTTAGGATCCTTTGAGGAGATAAAAGGGGAGAGGAAAATAATGAAAAGCTGGTGGCAAACAGGGGTGGGGCTAATACTTCACACAATTGTAAAACAGAAAAAATAAGCATTAATTTAGAAGTTTTAGCTATACAATGCTAAGACAAACCTAATATTTGAAAATATCCTGTTACTTTCCTGAATTTAATTTTCACTCAGAAATTTGACTCCATGTAAAAATAGGCATAATGTCCCAAGTACCAAGTTTTTGACACACATATCTCTCAGTAACTTTCCATAAATGAGAAATACCTCCTGTCACACATTACTCATCAGAGCAGAAGCATCTATATTTAATACTGCTATATCCAGCAGCTTAAATGTACATTTTAATGCATACCAATTCCCTTGGAAGAGACGAGTGGGCATGGTATGTGCCCTGGTTGGTCAAGGTTGTAGTCAGACATGGAGGGACAGGAATTTGGGAGCAGACCAAGAAGGAAACCTGTGTCCCCTTGATAGAACGTCATACTTAGAAACAAACAAACAAAATCCCTAAAGTTCTATTATAATTTAATGCTTCAGATTAGCGTTTAGAAAACACTATTCTCAAAGATAAAGTGAAACAGACCTAATAATGCAGTTTCCTTTCCAAGTCTGAATACAAATTATTCACCTGGGGCTGTTGCCATAATTCTCTAAATCACAGAACTGAATGCAATTGTTGTAGTACTTTGTTTATAATGATGACGACGACGACGATGATGATGATGATGATATAGCACAGTAATAAAAAAGCAATCATATCTACATCATGATAGCATTACAAGGACTAATAGGGGAGGGTGCTATTTAAAGTATGTGACACCAAGTGCTCAGTAATGCTAATTCCCTCCTCAACTTCTGCTGCTTTTAAAATGAAGCAAATTTCCAGTAATGTGTCTTTGCTGGAATACAACTCTAAGCATCATGATCGTACACGAAGGAGATTAAAGACTTTAAACTATGTTTTGTAATATAGAATAAAAACTTACTTGGACACTG